GAAGGGCACATAGGTAATGGGGAAAAAAATAAGAACTAAGATACATCATGTACAGGTACAAACACCCTATGATAAATGTAAATGTATTGTATACCTAAAATGTAGCAATTAATATATTAAGAAAAAAAAAAAAAGATTTGTGGAAAGAAGGGAGTGAGCACCAGAGCCACCAGGTACAGGATGTGGGCTGTACAGATCCTACTAAGTCCCCAGAACTCTGCTAAGAATATATATTATATATACATTTATAGAATATATCATGAGGGGCCAGGGATTTAGCTCAGTGGTTTCGCTGCCTGCTGTGCAAGCTCAAGGACCCGAGTTCGATCTCCGGCACCAAAAAAAAAAAAAAAAGAATATATCATGAGGAAATTAAAGTATAGTCAGTTTAAATTATCTTATAAGGTAAAGTCAACTCTTAGCTCATTTTTTCTATAAAAGGAGGGAATTTTGTAAAAAGCGTCTGATGATGAGTCATTTATAAAACTTGTTTGTATGCAAATATGCTGTATTTGATTTTAGAATAATTACTGAAAGTAATGCTTACTTGGAATTTCACTTCAGCTGTAGAATTGATATAATAGAGATCCTAAAAGAATGTTGGGCTTCTGACTGAAATATTCATCAGCAATATAAAGGTACATGCACTGGTAGAAACCATTCTGGTCAGAGAATGAGGAAATGTGGGCCCTTTAGCCCTGACTTTGCTGCTATTGGTGGATATGTAATCTCAGTTATGTCACTTCATCATGCCTCTCACATTTCTTTTTAAAAATTTGCATGACAGTTCTTTTCTTTCCATATTTTATATTGGCATCACAAATACTTACGATGCTTCTGTTATGAGGATCAAGGACAATCACTGCAAACTGACCATTGTTCTAAATTGGATTCGTGCAATTTTTTTTGAACACATGTTTTACTTAATTTTTTAATCTTAGTTTTATTTCATCTTTTAAAAGAAAACACTTTAACTCTTTCTTTTCTATTATTTTATGACCGCTTACATATCCTGCTCCAAAGAGTTTCTTGACTTCAGAATACTAAGACACCTCCCAGAAATAAGTGTGCTTAGCTTGGCAAGGGTAGCAAAGGCCTATAGTCCCATATACTTGGGAAGCTGAAACAAGAGGATCTCACATTTGAGAACAGCCTGGACAACTTAGCAAAAGCTTAACTCAAAATAAAATTTTAAAAAGGGCTAAAGATATAACTCAATGGTAGAGTGTTTGCCTAGCATGTGTGACCCTCTGGGTTTGATCCCAAGAAAGAAAGAAAGAA